GAGGAGGAAAGATCTATTTTTTGGCTCATGGTTTCAGTCTATAGTAAGCTGGCTCCAAGGCAGAAACATCATGTTGGAACCACATGGCATAGGAAATCTGCTCAGCTTGTGGCAGCCAAGAAACAGAGAGGGATGAGGAGCCAAGGATAAGATATGTTCCTAGGAGCATGCCCCCAGTGACCTACTTCCTCCAAGCATGCTCCAGCTGCTAGTAGTTTTTACTACCTTTCAGTAATCCATTCAGCAATCAACGAATTAATCTATTGATGAGGTTAAAGCCTCATGATCCAATCAATTCTCAAAAACCTCTAAATATTACTACCTGTGGAATAAACCTTCAACACATGACCTTCTGAGGAACATTCCAGATCCAAATCATAACATTCTCCTCCGTACTCCAAAAGATCATGCCCATCTCATAATGCAAAATTCAGTCCATCTACAAGAGTCCCTGCAGTCTTAATAGTTCCAGCATTGCTCAAAACTTGTAGTCCACAGTTTCCTCTGAGACTCAGGTTACTTTAAGTTCTGAGTCCTGGTAACTATCAAAAAGCAAATTATATGCTTGCAAACGTACAATGGCCTGGGGAAAACATTCTCATTACAGAAGGGAGGAATAGTGGTATAGAAAGGAAGGATGGACCAAAGCAAGATTGAAATGCATCAAGGTAAACATTAAGTCCTATAGCCACATGTCCAGCATCCAAAGCACATGATGGCAGGATGTGGGTCCTAAAGGGCTTGGAAAGTCCCACCCCTATGGCCTTTTGGGTTGCAGTCCACATGTCCTCTTTCTTGGGATGACTACTTGCTGCCCACAGCTTTCTTTGGCAGATGTTTCCACATTCCTGGCATCTCTAACTTCTTGGGGGGTCTCCAATGCAATTTTGGCTTCACTCTCATTGTTTTACACATCACCCTCTCAGGGGATGCTTGCAGGTATTCTAACCCTGGGACATGCTCTCTGGCCTAGAATACCTTCCTTTGAAATCTTGATGGAAGCCTCCCTGATCCTTGACTCTTGTATTCCTCATGCCTGCAAAATCAGTGCCATGTTGATGCCAAGGCCTGCCATCAGCAAAGCAATAACTGGGCCCTCTTGGACTATGGCTGCAGTGGCCTCAGAGTGCCTGGGGACCTGAGCATGGTAAAATGAATCCTAGGGAGGCAGCTTCCTAGGCAGTCCTATGGGAGCAAGGCACTTCAACATTTTTTTCTCAAAGCAAAAATCTTTTAAACAAGTTCTCACCTTTATACCTTTGTGTCTGAGATGGGTGGGGTCTTGCTTACTCCTGAGATGCCCTTAAGCCATATTTCCTATTTCTTGTGCAAAGTGCTCATTTCTGTTTAATTGTGCTAATCTCCTCAGCTACCACACACTTTCCTTGGCCCCAATTTTAGTGCAGTTTTCGGGCCAATCTGCAGAAAAGCAGCTTCAAATCTTTCTTCTATGCTTTTTACTCATGATTATCACTGGCTGGGCACAAATCAGGAGCCACTCAAGCAGGAACAAACTTTATTTCTGAACTCCCACAGCATTCCACGCGCACTCCCCCGGAACTCTCCCAAACACCACCCACGTGGCTCCACCAGGCACACACCACACACTAACCGGAACTCCCTCCCCTGGGCTGCACTCGCACTCACTCTAGGAACCCCACAAGAAATCAATGGGAACTCCAAAGTAGTGGCTGCCGGAGGCAGCAAGAGCCATCTTATTACCAGACAGTAAAGGTCTAAAATACAATTGAATATACAACCTGTTTCAATCCAACATCATCTTAATGGCTCGCCTCTCAACCATACTTCTGGTAAAATGCCAGGGGCCATTCCAACTCGGCTGTGGCTCTCAGCAATAACAGTAAACCTGACTGAAGGCAGCCATCAATACCTATGCAACCAGCTGATTGCTGTACTGCCTTGATATTTCCTCTGCCAGGTGGAGTGTTCTGTCATGTTTAAATTCATCATTGCATAGTTTTAGGGCATAGACAAAATGAAGACAAACTCTTTGCCAGAATGTAACACAAATGGCCTCTTGTCCAATTCCTATTAGAGTCCTTGTTCCCATCTAAAATCCTATGAGTACAGTATTTGCTATTTACATTCCTATCACCATTCTGTTCTTCTAAAATCATGCCAGAATTGCCCATTAAATTCTGTTTCCAACATTCTCTGGCTTATCTAGCCTGCATCTCTAAACTTTTCTAAAATCCTCCTTTAAAACATTTCCAAAGTCTTCTGAACCACATGGTCAGGTACAGTCATAGCACTATAACTTATCTGTATCCATTTCTGTGTTTGTGAGCTTTTGTTTGCTATGACAAATACCTAAGAAAAACAACATAAAGGAGGAAAGATGTATTTTGCCCCATGGTTTCAGAGATTTCACTCAATGGTCAGGGGCTCCATTTCTTGGGACCTGAGGTAAGGCATGATATGGTGATGTAAGGGTCCGGCGAACGTCGGAGGAAGAGACCACCAAGAGACCGACTCATGCAACAGCAAAAGGGCGTTTATTGAGGATCCAATCCAGTGCACTGGGGCTCCAGGCTCACTCAAGACAGGAGAGCGGCCAAGAGCCCCGAGCAGGGGTTGAGCAGTGCTTAAGTACACTTTTTGGGGAGGGCGGGGGCTTTGCATACATCACAGTCTCCCTTAACAAATCACCATACACCGCGGGAAAATCAAACAACAATTCTTAAACATGATTAGTACATTCATTGGTGGGAACAGGTGGGGAGGGAGTGATAGGTCAATCCTAAGGAGGGGATACATTCAAACTGATTGGTTTGGGCCCTGAATGCCTAYRTGCCAAACTGCACAGGGTCCAGGTTATTTAACAACTAAATGGTCAGTACCGGGCATTGTCTTAACTGCCTCAGGAATTTCAGGTTCTGTGTGCAGTTCAGAAACYTTAYAATACCTAGTCCTTTACATTTTAACTCAGGCTTTGCAGCTTAGAAACTTTACCCTTTCAGTGAAGGAGCATGGTAGAAGAAAGCTACTCAGCTTATGGCAGCTGGGAAGCAGAGAAAGGAAGGAGCCATGCATATGCTCCATGGGCATGTTCCCAGAGACCTATTTCTCCCAACCATGCCCCACCTGCCTATAGTTTCCACCACCTTCCAGTAGGTCATTCAGCTATCAATGATGGCAGAGTTCTTATCAGTTCCCAAAAGCCCCACCTCTACACATTGCTAAAATGGGGAACAAGCCTTCAACACACGAACTTCTGGAAGACATTCACAGATCCAAACTGTAACAGTGTTGTTCAAGTCTTATATTTCCTTCCTGATATTTTGGTAAGTTCTTCTATTATTAAAAATGGGATAATGGAGTCACCATCTATTATGTAGAATTTCTATATCTCCCCATTGTCTGTCCATTTATGCAAGTATTTTGGGACTTTGCTGTTAGATGCATATATGTTTATAACTGATATATCTTATTGATAGATTACCATTTTAAACATTATATAATATCTTCTGTTTATAACTGATATTTTATAGATGGAACAAACATTTTAAACCTCCTTTTCTCAAACAATTTTTGCTTAAAGCCTGCTTTATTTGTAAAGCTACTATAGATCTCAATTGATTATTTACTTGGAATACTAACCTTTTCCACCCATTTACTTTAAATTTATTTGTGTCTTTGGGTCTAAAATGAGTCTCTTGTGGACACAATATATTTGGATGATGGTTTTTTTCCAGTTATCTATCCTTCTGATCTTTGCCTTTTAAAATTCATTCACATTTAATATATTTACTGATAGGGAACAACTTCTGGCATTTTGCTATTTGAATTTTAATATATCATGTCTTCTCCCCATTTTTTTTTATTACTGACTTTTTTGTTTCATTAATTTTTTTATATTATACAATGTTGATTCCATTCTCAATCATATATATAAATTATAAATTTTCTTAATAGTTACCCAGGGGATTACAATTATAATATTAATTATAACAATATAGTCCAGAGTAATACCAATTTTATTTGAAAAATCTACCAAAACATTTGCTCTAATGTAGCTCCACCCCTTCAACATTGTTATTTTCATAAATTTCATATTTATATATTATATACCCAACATAGATTTATATTTTTATACAGTAGTTTTAAAAGTCATATATTAAAGAGGAGTTACATTCCAAAAATAAACTAATACTGTCTTTTGTGTTATCCTATATAGTTACCTTTACCATGTGCTTTGTTTTTTGGCGTGGATTCCAGCCCAATATAGGCTGGAAATTTCCCTTTTGTATTTCTGCTAGGGAAGGTCCAGTTCATAGGAAGAACGTTTAGTCCAAAAAGAATACAAATACCGTCTGAGATCAGGGTTGACCAGATAAAGATGGGAGTGAATTTCCACACAAGTGCTCAAGGATGTCATGGCTCAATCACTTGTTTTTTTTGATGACAGGGATTCTCAGTTCGTCTGCTCAGGATGAGGAGGGAAGTGTGCAGACAGCATGACTGACCCAATAGGAGGTTTGAAGTAATAACAAGAAAACAAGAGATGGAGCTGAGACTAGAGCACTCTTCCTACAATCATCTATTTGACTTTGACACCTGCCTAGGAATTCATTCCGCTGTGCAGGATATTTTCTTTTCCGAGTTCCTATGAACAAAGCGGCTATTGGCTCACTGCAGTTCCTACCTCAGCCCCTTGCCTGTTCTCCCAGTAGTTGGTGCTGTGCTGAGGGAGGTTGGTCCCAGCAAACCTTGCGGCATGAGTCAGAGCTTCTCTCTGTGACGCTTCACGACGTGCGGAGCAGAGGTTGGCGTGGTGGTGAGAGGAGCGGCTTTGTTCTTCGTGAGCTGACTGAGGGGGTTGAGGGAGGAGGAGGCCAGGACTGGGCCAGGACTGAGCAAAGACTGAAAGAGCACTGAGCGAGGACTGTGGGGAGAGAGTTGGTGGCTGCAGACTCCCCGGGCCGGGGCGGAAGTAGCAGCGGCGAAGCCGTCGCTCTACTTCCTAGGCCGCAGCAGCCATGGCGGTGGAATTTGGCGACCACGCCAGTGGCTTTCGCCACAATGAGGTGGTCCGGTTCATTAATAATGAAGTTCTCATGAATGGTGGTGGCCCGGAGTTCTACATGGCCTTTCGCTCTCGTCCCTGGAACGAGGTGGAGGACCGGCTTCGCTCTGTGGTGGTGGACCCGCAGGTGCCTCGTGCCCTCAAGAGGGCTTGCACTTGGAGCGCCCTGGCCCTGGGCGTGCGAGTGGTGGCCAGGCTGCGGGAGCAGCAGGGGCGTCGGGTCCGTAGGCTGCAGGATCAGGTGGAGGAGCGCGAGGCAACTTGCTGGGCGCTGGCTTCCGAGTTGCAGCGGCTGCGTGAGGAGCGTGATGAGGTGGTTACACAGTTGCTCTTCACCCGATCTGCCTTGCAACAGGCAGTGAATGAAAGTGATATGCTGCGTGGGAGGCTGTTTCAGGTTGAAGGGGTGGCACAGGTTGCCCCCCCAGCCCATGATATAGTCCCTAGTCTGAGAGCCAATCAACCAGGGCCTGCAGTTTGGCCCCAGAATGCAGACCAGCAACAAGAAGTGGGAGCCGTAGGGAGAAATGACAGGCTGTATTTCGAGGCTCCAACACCAGCCCCGACAGCTGTCCTTTATATGCCAGGACCCCCGACTCCTTGGGCCTCGCCTGTGCAACCCCCTGTGCAAGTCCCAGTGCCACAGTCAGTCCCAATCCCACCACCATTACCAGTGGGATTCCCGTACTTGCCACCTCCACCACCTGCAGGAGTCATGGAAGCAGAAGCAGGAGTAGTCCCACTTCAGATGCCACCTGTGGGGTTCTGTCCACCTGGCTCCTGGGTTGCAGGGAACTTCCAGAATGAGACAATCCCTCTGTGGGACCAGAGATACTATGTCCAGGCTGAAGGTCCTGTGAACCTTCAGGGGTCTGTCCTAGGGGACAACAGAAGCCTCAGCCAGGAAGGTCTAGAGAAACCCCAGGTGATGGCTTCCCTAGTTAACATGGAGACCTGTGGCCAAGAAGTAGGTCCACAGAGGTCCCAGGGAATGCTCCCCCCTGAGGACAGTGTGTGTCATATCCAACAGGAAGAACCAGAACAGTCTCAAGGGATGACTTCCCTAGTTGACATAGGGAGTCACATCAAGGAAGAAGGTCCAGAAATACCCCAGGGGATGGTCTCCCTGGGAGACACAGGGACCCATAGCGAAGAAGAAGGTCTACAGAGTGTTCAGGGGATGGTCTCCTTGGTTGACCTGGGTAACCACAGCCAGGAAGAGAGTCCACAGATGCCCCAGGTAACACACCTACTTGAAGAAAGTGGGCACCATAGCCAAGAAGAAGTTCATCAGAGGCCTGAGGGAATGTATTCCCTGGAGCACAGCAGAAGCCACTGCCAGGAAGAAGGTCCAGAGAGGGCCCAGGGAATGGCACCCCTTGAGTTCAGTGGGAGCAACAGCCAGGAAGAAGAACATTTACAGAGAGCTCTGGGGATAACTTTCTCAGGGTTGAACAGAAGTCATGATCTGGAAGAAGGTGCAGAGAGGCCCCAGACAACCCCTGTGTGGGAGAGCTGGAGTCAAGCTGTGAGAGAAAGCCCAAAGAAACAGCAGCCTCAGTGGCAGAAGGCCAAGCAACCACAAGGGAAAAGAACACTGGGTTCCCAGCATCAGGAGAAGTATGCCTCATGCTACAATCAAGAGAATTGGGTCTGCCTATGTTGTAAAGCCATGAATTTTTCATGGCGCACAGCTTGTTACAAATGCAAGAAAGCCTCTGTGCCAGTTGAGGGTGGAGGTGTCAACACAGGACAAACTCACTGATTTCAGGAAGGTAAGTAAGAATGGAAACACTTTAAAGAGAAACCAATTTCCTAAGTCCCCCGGCCACCTTCTGACCAAAAGGTAACTTCACAGAAAATATGATACCAAAATTATTCAGAAAATCAAGTAAAATAACCTATTATCTCATTACTCAGATTAACTACTTTTTACTATTGTGAACACAAATGTAATTATTTATATTATTTCATTCATTTACTTCAACAAAGAGAGGCTATTGAAAAACACTCTTTAAATTGGAAATTTCTCCTAATTGCATTTAAATTTTGCAGGTGGTGGATTCTTGATGGCTGTTATGGAGTGGTTTATACCCTGGAGAATCTGATTATGAAGACTTTCCCCATGCAACCCCTCTTTTCTATTTTCTTCTTAACCCCCTTTTCCTGAAAATGCTATGTATTTGGGAACAGCCGTATGGTAATAGAGTTATGAGCTATGTTGAATTTTAAAAAGCACTTTTTCTTGAAAACACTCTTGTCCCTTTGGAAACTACTATAGTGTTCATGTTGATTCTTTTTGGTTCTTAAGTTTTATAGGTGAGGTCCTGTTTTTTTTTTTTTTTTTTTTTTTGTCTTAATCCCACTTTGTTGCTGAAGAAGCTGAATCTTGCCCACTAAAAGATCTCATCAGAGCTGAAAGAAATTACACCTTGATTTTGATGGACCCATACTTTACTGAGACCCCTCACCACCACTGACTGGAGCTGAGAAGAGAGGAAATCAATGAAGAAGAGATACCTTGGTACTCTTCAGGTGGACAATGAAAAACTAAATTGCTTTGTTAGCAATTAATTTTTTCCACTGGGACAAGGAATTAACTTGGAAGAGTTTGGCAGGGGTTGAACTGTTAAATTCTATATATGATAGCAAATTGATTAATTATAAAAAATGATATTAACTGAACTACATGGTATTATCTAGTGCCTATAGCATAATCTTTTTCTGTTGTTTAAATGATAGAAAAGAGCATGATTTGAGATACAGTGTACGTCAGGAATGTCTTTTTTGCCTTGCATGTAGAATGGCCTTGGGTAAAACCAATTGAGATAACATTCAGATCATTTTTGTATTCTGGGGGCAAAGTAATTGAGTGACCAAACTACTCATCTCCTTGGTCACAAGGGAGACAAATGAGCAGTGGCAAATACCAGCAAGGTGTCCTCATGAAAGTGTGGATCAACTATTATCCTAGCTGCCCTGCAGCCCACCAGAAAGATCACTGAACTGTCATGAAAAAAAGGTAGTGTTTGGGGAATGTTGACTATTCATTCTAGCCCTCCCGGCTGCCCCCATCTCAAGTACCTTTCCATCTAATATTGAATAACAAAATGGATTCCAAAGACAGACATGGGGCAATGCTCTTTGTATGGCCAGTGCTTCTCTTAGGAGAATTAATTGGGTTAAAATAGAATGGAATCAGGGCTAGCACTCCAGAGTGCTCTTGGGTCCGTTTTCTTCCACTGGATGTGTTATGCAGGCTCTCTGTTTCTTCAAGGCAAGGAGGAGCCAGGATAGAGCCCAGTGGGTGGGAGGTGAGAGGTGAGAGGTGAGATCCACTTCTAGTCTGAACAAAAGGTTTCCCAAAGTTTCCTTGGAGATCCTGCCCACCTCAATGATGTTAATGAGGGGGTTTTCTGATCCTAATTAGCAATAAAGAGTTTGTACTTCTCATATGTATCCTGTGTAGTGTGTATGGTGTGGAGGTGGGAGGCAGATTTGCTTAGAGGCGGCAGATTAAATCCTTTTCTCTATCTCAGTGAGATGAAGGGAATTTCAACCTCATTCCCTATTGGAGGACTCCTTCTCTCCTTTCCATTCATCCAAGAATTAGAGGTACCTCTTTGGTGCCTTCACTGTCCAGGTCCACATGGTCCCTTGAAGGTGGGCATGTCTGCTGTTCTAAGACTGGTGGGACATGCAGAAAGGGGGCTTAGGTAGGAGGGTGCTTCTGCCTAGGCTAGAGTCCTAAAGCTTCCCTCCGTGTATGGAGAAGCCGTTTCCCTGAAGTCTTGTCTCCTCCAGGCCCCCTGATGTCCTATGAGCAGAAATTTTCCTCCTGCCTTTCTGCTCTCCAAGGTACTGTCCCCTCCTACACACTGTATCTTCAAGGTGCTCATGATTCTCGGAAGTAGCCATGTTGTAGGCTGTTCAGAACAAATATTCCATGAGGTTAAGGGGAATAGAGGCTGGTTACCTGCTTGACTTAGGGACAGGAATGGGAACAGAGAACAAAAGTGACCTTGCCTCACTAGAATTTTCATTTCCCTAAGAGCTAATGATTATAGGGGGAGAGCTTTGAAACTGGAAGGGGAGCATTGTAATGGAAGGGATTCAATATGGACATCAAACCCAAAGTTAATGATTTATTGGGGTGCCTTGGTTACTTGAGAGGGAAGTATTAGAAAGGAAGGGATTCATCACGGACATCAAACCCAAAGTTATGTTGCCTGGGTTGGGGCAGACTTTGTGATATTCATGTTTGCTGATAGTTCCTTGAAATTTTTGGAATATAGGACACAGATGAGACTTGGGAATGTTCCAGCATAATCTATTTTCATGTACCAGCAGGTCATTCTAGATCTCACTATAATTGCTGCTTTTATGGCTTCAAAACAGACTCTGCTATTCATTGGCACACATTTAGGTCTATATGAAAATAGATTCCCTCTATGCGTAGCTTTTATGTATTTTAATATGATTATACAGTCTTCCAGGGCTGACCTTTTTCAAAGCAACCTGAATTCATTGAGGCTGCCAAATCACTATTTTCTTTTAGGCTGGGTACACAAAAGAAAGGGCAGCAGGTTTCTATGACAAGAGCGTGGGCTTTGAAGCCAGAAAGACCTGAGTTCAGAAACTTGCTCCATTACTCACTAGCCATGTGACCTCAAAGAAATTACTAAATTTCTCTGGGCTCCAACAAATTTTAGTTCCCATTCCCTACCATTGGAGTTCTGATCTTGATGCTAGGGTAATTAGTATAGGTTTTATTAGGGGCTAATGGTGAGAGCTACCATTGAGTGCTAACTGTGTGCCAGACTCTCTAAGCATATTATGCCTTTTGTTGACTGTAGTTATGATAAGTATCTATATTAATATTTCTTCAAAATGGGCACTATCATACCATTTTACAAATGTGTTAAGTCAATACCCAAATTTGGTGATTGGTGAAGCCTGGCTACAAAATGAAATTTGACTGGCTCCATATGTCTGTATTTGTAGGGCATAATGTAACATGTGGGGCATGTTGCATCAGAAAGGAGGAAACCTAACTTGCTATCCGCTTCCTGGTCCTGGGGCCACATGTGGCAAAGATAGCGCCTGGTGCCATCAGCCAGAAGGCATTGTGGTGAGGAAAAATCAGACCACCTCTGGGATAGGCTCAGAACTCTTCAGCCCTCATGGACAGCTGGTGTCTCCTATTACTGCCTGTAGGATGGGTATACACGTGAACTCGCCCCACCCTACTGACCTTTACCCTGATTGGCTCCAGTGCCTTATATTAGCTGTGTGTGTTTTTTCAATAAACTGAGATCCAGCTTTGACTGGTCTCCCTGATTGTTCTCTGGCGGGGGAGGGCTGGGTTCGGGCCATCTGTGGGCCTTTCCTTTCTTGGTTGTCCTGGTCGGGGCGGGGCGTGCTCTCTCCCAATCTCTCCTGCAGGTCAGGAGGGAAGGGGGGGGAGCTAAAAACTCTGACATGTATTCTTCCCATTATATCATATCACACTATCTTAACCTTTTACCCATTCTGAGTAATATTCTCCAAATTTTAGGATGTGAGACTATCTAGGCTGCCAGTGAGTAGGACCATTTATAATCTTAATCATGAGGACTCCCCAAGTTTCCTCATTGACTAATGTTTATTTTTTATATTTAATAAAAATATTCAGAAACACATTGAAATAAATATAGGAAGTGTTGCTGCACTAGATATCTATAACCCAGAATACCTCATACAATTCTTTGAGTATAACACCCTATTTTGTTCACTGTTGGAAGCATTCTCTTCAATGGACCTAGGAATTCCTCCAGTCAATTAAATTCTGACCTGTCTGGTCTAACTTCTCTGGGGTATAAAGCAATTGTTGATAAACATTTTGTCATCCCAAATGTCAATTTTAGAGGTAAGCAATGCCCTTAAGATCTTTTTTTTTATTACTTTGCAGATCAGGTAAACAGCAAGTATTCAGGACAGTGTTGTTATCATTTGGGTAATGTACTCTGTGGAAGTAATTGTTATTGGCTTCAATGACCTTGTGTTCCGTTAGAAAAAAATAAGGTAAGTATTCAACAGACTGTAGTGATTTTCAGCCTTTTCCTCAATTGTTAACATCATCTTTTGGCCTGTAGATGTCATTTTTTGAAAGATTCTATATAGCAAAGGGCATCAATTAGTAAATGATTATTTTCTCATTTAAAATTAAGAATACCTCTATAAATTTCCCTCTCACAGTCAATATACTTCTAACAAGAAGCAGTCTTTTACCATTTGAGTATAGGATTTTTGTGATGATCCATTGAATTGTGTTATTACTATTATTGTTACATGCAGCTGAAACACAGGCAAATGGACCATTTTTGTAGGCTCTTTGTAAGAGTGAAACTACCTCAGAATCTATTCAATACTACCATCTTTTTTTGAGAGAGAGAGAGAGAGAGTTTTTTTAATATTTACTTTTTAGTTTTCGGTGGACACAGCATCCTTATTTTATTTTTATGTGGTGCCGAGGATCGAACCCAGCACCCCACGCATGCCAGGCGAGCGCGCTACCGCTTGAGCCACATCCCCAGCCCTAATACTACCATCTTAAAAGTCTACCTACTGTCTTGAGAGGCTGAGGCAGAAGGATTTTAAGTTCAAAACTAGCATGAGCAACGTAGGGAAGCCCTAAGCAACTTAGTGAGACTCTGTCTCTAAATAAAAACTAAAAAAAAGGGGCTGGGGATGTGGCTGAGTAGTTAAACACCTCTGGAGTAATCC